TACTGAGTTCAATATTGAATAACCATATTAATTCAACTGTCAACCTAAAAATTTACAGCCACTTTTGAAAGACATGTATCCTTGCTCTGGAATGTGTTACTGAATATGTTAAAGCTGTAATGAAATGCTTCTTCTAATCATGTGGTTATTAAATTTAAAAAAAAATTAACCCCCCCCCAAAAAAACCACACCACTTTAACCATCCCTATAATTAGTTGTATGAAGTCTTTGTTTCTGTCTGAGTTCAGGATCAGGGAATGTGCCTATTAGTTTCTTGCTGGATCCCCAGAGCATAGCAGGCGCTTACAGAATATGACATCATTGAGTGAATAAAGGAACATCTTAAACCCAGTGTTGTCAAGCATTCACTCATTCCTTTGTTCATTAGTACTTGCTGAGCATCTGCTATGTGTGGTACTTTTGAAGGTTTTTAGTTATGCCAGTGATCAAAAGAGGCAGTAATACATGGTTTTATGGGGCCGCCATCATAGGCATGCTGGCTAGGTTTTGATGTCAATATATAGTCCAAAGAGTTCAGTACTTGGTTATCTCTCCTGGAACCATTCTTTATTGATGGGATTTAGCTATTCAGAGTGTGAAGTTGTTGAAAATGTTCTTCGTTGTCTCTGGGAGTGTGTTTGAGTGGGTGCCAGGACCCATAGCTGTCCCCTAGCCTCTTCCAATTGCTCTGATGACTTGCTGTCTTCTCCAGGTCATGCTCTCAGAACGGAAGGGCACAGATGAGCTCTATGCTGTGAAGATCTTGAAGAAAGATGTGGTGATCCAGGACGATGATGTGGAGTGCACAATGGTGGAGAAGCGGGTGCTGGCCCTGCCTGGGAAGCCGCCATTCCTGACACAGCTGCACTCCTGTTTCCAGACCATGGTAACCAGTTCATGCCTTGGAAAGCCACTTCCAGGGTTTCCCCAGGCTTTTGACCAAAGCTATCTTAGCAGCAACCATCCCAAAGAGATACTGAGTCCTAAGTGATACCTGGGCTCTTTGCATTATGGAAACTGAAAGATGCTGGGTCCAAGGAAGTTAGCTGAAAATGCCTGAGGTTGCCACTGAGCACTGTCCTCTGGGGCAGATGCTGTCCCATCTCAGGAAATTAGTTTTATAACCAGCAGAACTAGGCCCTCCTCTAACAGTAAGTAGTGACTTAGGAGCAGGAACTCAGTGAGACGGTTTACAGACTGTTCTTCTACCTAGCTACTGTCAGTCCTCCCAACCTTTGACTGAGCACAGGTATATCTTTGCAGGTTCCCCGAGGGCTTCGTATGGGGCCCTTCAAAGACGGGGATTTTCTGACAGCATGGCCCTGAGAGGGCACCTGAGGCTAGATACAGTGTCCTAGGCCAGGGCTCTTGAGCTCAGAGCTCATGGCTGCCAGGATAGGTAGGGAGCATTCACCAATATGTTATCTGTAATTTCAGCTCTATCTGCAAGAGTAAGAAGGTGCTTGTCGGTAGATCCCAACCCTTTCTCTGTACCTGTTGGATGTCGGCCTCCATTGCCAAACTAGAGGATAAGCGCATATTCAGAGCACATTCTTGAAGGCACGGCTGCTAAAGACCCATGGCCTTGTGGCTTAAAGATGCTTTCAGGGCTTCTATAGTATTCTTTTGGACCCTCTAGTTTTGGACCCTCCAGTTTCCACTTCCGTGCTGATTTTAGAACTCCCCCTCTATGTGAGATGGGTTGGATGCTGTTACATTTTGCATCTATTTTGATGTACCTTTTATCACTCTTCTCGTGGCCCCCTGAGCCCTTCCACTCTCTTCTTTTATCTGTTCTTTGATCCACTAGAAATCCTGGGCTTTTTGATCTGTAGTGTTTTCAGTCTGAGGTTTGCTGACTATAGCCTTCTTGTGGCACCTCAGCATGCTTCTCTGTCCCCTGTATTCCCTGTAAATTGGCAAGTAGGTCTAGAGACTTAGTCAGACTCAGTTTCTATCCCTTAGGTAAGACTCTAGATGACCCTAGACAGAAGGTGCGTTCTCTTAGCCAAAGGCACATAATGCTCTAGGATCTAAGTGGTACTGGTGGAGATCGATGCTCAGTACATAAGTCCATCATTCCTTAGGAATTGTGAGATGCAAATGTCTAAATGCTATCGTTTTCATTTCCTAGTTGGAGTGCTTTTATAGAGAGGCTTCCCCTCCTTGTTCCCCGATGATCTAGTTCATACATAAGATACAATCAGTGCTTCGCTTCTTCCTTTTGTTTAACGTTTTTTACTGTAATGAACTCGTTCACTATTGTGCTCCAAGGGGGACTAAAGCTTGCTTAAAACTAAACTTTTAAGGGAAAAAAAGAGAATTTGTGTAAATAAAATTGTAAATAAACATAATTTACATCATTATATGGGGATTTGGCAAAGATCAGTTAGTAGAGAGGTATAACATCTCTAGTTTTACCTTGGGGAATTCAGGCCGGAGGGAGCTCACATGTTAACAGAGACAGGACGTCAACCTTAAGAAGCTCCTCTCCCTTTTCACAAGTGGTTCCTCGAACTGGCTCATGGGCATCAGTGTGTGGATGCGCACTGCCTGGTGAACAGACTAATAGCAAGCTTGGAGCAGCAGTTTGCAATTTCAGTTGGGTGTGCCGAGACGGGGAGAAATGAGTCATTTGTGACTAATATTCATTAAAGGATAGTGTCATCATTAGTAATGGACTGTTCAGAAAATGACAGTGTGGAGTGGATTTAAGGTTATTCTTTGGAGAGTAGGCAGCCTCTCTCACCCGTGTTTTAGTATGCTTTCTGGCATTAAGAGTCCAGAAGCTGGGTTCACATGGCAATAGCAGCCAACTCCAGATTCCCCTCCAGAAGTTGTTACATGCCAGGGAGGAAAGATTAGGGGCTAAGAGAGCCAGTGGACTGGTGTCTTGCATGGAGTAAAGGATCTGTGACTCCCTTGTAAGCTGTCTCCAAATCTACAAGGATAGGGATGGAACACGCAGCATTCTCACTGTTTGACAATGATATGAAATAGTCAACCCATTTGTAGGGTCTGTACTATCTGGGAGGGAAAATGGTTGGAGAGAACTCCTGGGGAGTGGGGGCGAGTGAAGGTAACCAAGAGAAGAGCAGATCCCCAGCCACCTCACCTGAGCTCAGATAGACACCCAGCCACCTCACCTGAGTTCACATTGACACTCAGTCACCACACCTGAGCTCAGATAGACACCCAGCCACCTCACCTGAGCTCTGATAGACACCCAGCCACCTCACCTGAGCAGCCAACTCCAGATTCCCCTCCAGAAGTTGTTACATGCCAGGGAGGAAAGATTAGGGGCTAAGAGAGCCAGTGGACTGGTGTCTTGCATGGAGTAAAGGATCTGTGACTCCCTTGTAAGCTGTCTCCAAATCTACAAGGATAGGGATGGAACACGCAGCATTCTCACTGTTTGACAATGATATGAAATAGTCAACCCATTTGTAGGGTCTGTACTATCTGGGAGGGAAAATGGTTGGAGAGAACTCCTGGGGAGTGGGGGCGAGTGAAGGTAACCAAGAGAAGAGCAGATCCCCAGCCACCTCACCTGAGCTCAGATAGACACCCAGCCACCTCACCTGAGTTCACATTGACACCCAGCCACCACACCTGAGCTCAGATAGACACCCAGCCACCTCACCTGAGTTCAGATTGACACTCATTCACCTCACCCGAGCTCTGATAGACACCCAGCCACCTCACCTGAGTTCACATTGACACCCAGCCACCACACCTGAGCTCAGACACCCAGCCACCTCACCTGAGTTCAGATTGACACTCATTCACCTCACCTGAGCTCTGATAGACACCCAGCCACCACACCTGAGCTCAGATGGACACCCAGCCACCACACCTGAGCTCAGGTAGACACCCAGCCACCTCACCCGAGTTCAGATTGACACTCATTCACCTCACCTGAGCTCTGATAGACACCCAGCCACCACACCTGAGCTCAGATGGACACCCAGCCACCACACCTGAGCTCAGGTAGACACCCAGCCACCTCACCCGAGTTCAGATTGACACTCATTCACCTCACCTGAGCTCTGATAGACACCCAGCCACCACACCTGAGCTCAGATGGACACCCAGACACCACATCTGAAGTCAGATAGACGCCCAGCCTCCTCACCTGAGCTCTGATAGACACCCAGGCATCACACCTGAGCTCAGATAGACACCCAGCCACCACACCTGAGCTCAGATAGACACCCAGCCACCTTACCTGAGTTCAGAGTGACACTCATCCACCTCACCTGAGCTCTGATAGACAGCCAGCCACCACACCTGAGCTCAGATGGACACCCAGACACCACATCTGAAGTCAGATAGATGCCCAGCCTCCTCACCTGAGCTCAGATAGACACCCAGCCTCCTCACCTGAGTTCAGATAGACACCCAGCCACCTCACCTGAACTCACATAGACACCCAGCGACCATACCTGAGCTCATATAGACATCCAGCCTCCTCACCTGAGCTCAGATAGACACCCAGCCACCATACCTGAGTTCAGACAGACACCTAGGCACCACACCTGAGCTCAGATAGACACCCAGCCACCACACCTGAGTTCAGACAGACACCTAGGCACCACACCTCAACTCAGACACCCAGCCTCCTCACCCGAGTTCAGATAGACACCCAGGCACCACACCTCAACTCAGACAGACACCCAGCCACCTCACCTGAGCTCTGTCCACATTCTCATTGAAGGAAATATTCCAAATTAAATAATTTTTGTCCCTTAAAATGTTTTCATTTTTATTCTTGTGTATGTGTGCATGTCTGTGTGAGTGTATGCCAAGTGTGTACGGGCAGTTTTGGATGACAGAAGACCCCATTGGATTCCTGGAGCTGGAGTTATAAGCCATTGTGAGCCCCCCACATGGGTGCTTAGAACCAAACTCAAGTGTTCCATAGAGCAGAAAGTGCTTTTAATTTCTGAGCTCTCTCTCTAGCCCCCTTTTTCTTACCTTTTAAGTTAAACACCTGCATTTTAATTTGTGTAAATTTGAGGCATAATAATGCTTACTCTGTATATGGCACAGGGCTAACAATTCTAAGATACATCACAATCTTAGATAGATCCTACTGTCACCCCCATTTCACAGAGGAGGAAATGGAGGTCACACACCTCAGGACCAGGATATGAATCCTGGCAGTATAGCGACAGGGAGCCTTGCACTTAACTGATACCCTAGAAGGTCTTTTGAGTGTAGGTGACCCTGGGTGTCACTCCATCTGACACTCCTGTGCTGAGATCCCCAACAGCAGCCTGTCTGCAGCCCCTCCAGGCCTGAGTCCAGCCCAGCCTTGTCTCCTCCTGTCTGCTCAGAAAAATCATGTTTCTCCCTCCCACAATTTTCCCATCTCCAGCATGAACATTTAGCATGTAGGTCTTTAGAAGTGCTCCTAGCCACATACAGATTTCACAGTAGGGGTTGTCTATCACCTCACTTCATGGCAGAAGGTTTAAGGATCAGGACACAGAGCCATTCTCTCTGGATACAGAACTGGAGCAGTGGCATTTCCTGCTCAGAGCTGAGCATCATGTTAAAACACCAGAAGATAGCTGTGACTGTAGTCATGTTACAAATAAGACTAAAAACCAGCAGTGAGCAGTGACAGACCCCAGCAGGTGTCTCACCATATTGTATCATCAGACCTCTCCACCTCCCCAGGAGACGTGGCATTGTAGATAAGAACGCCAAGCGTCAGGGAAGTTAAGCAACTTGTGCAGTGTCACACAGCTGGTAGAACACAGAGCTTGGGTTTGTTCTGGAAGACTCCAGAGCCCCAAGTCTGGACATCTTTGCTGTCCTCCCCATACCTGAATTCCACATCGTTGTTTCTGATTTACAGTATTTTTTTCTTTCATGCTT